TCTTCATGCAGGAGTATCCAAAATTCAGCAACCAGGGGTTTGTTGTTTTAAGAAGTCTATGGTGGCTCCTAGTGGGTGCTTCGACCACAAATGCATGATTCATATTCTCAGTTTTGCTCAAGGTAATGTGAAAATGAGGGCAAAAATATAATCATGGAGAAAGCTGGGGTGCAGCAGGCCTGTGGAGCAAAAGGACTCAAACCAATACAAAAATTCATATATATTGCAGGTATAGTTATTTGTGACATGTGAGAATCATGTGGGGTGGGGAGCCATGTATTCGAATTTTAGTGAGACTCACGTGGATCAAAACTCTTTCACTTTTTTTTGGCAGAAGGCTCTACAGATTAAATTTTAGTGTTGCATGGATATGCATCTAGTTCCTGGGGAATACATTGCTTAGGATTGTGATACTGAAAATAAGAGTCAGGACATTCATATGGGACTACAACTGCTGGTTCTGGTACTATGGATTTTATATGAACCTTTTCCTCCAAAGAATTGGATGTGGAAAACATATTCTCAATGCAATATTATTCAGAAGGTCTGGAGATCCATTGTATCATGAGAGCTCTGACTTTATCAGTATAATAACCCATGTCGGGTTCATATAATGGTGGAATTATTCTGGGGTGGTGGAAGAGAAGGTAGAAACTAAACGGAGAATGAAGCTCACTGGGGCAAACATTGGAGGACATTCCTTGTCTCCACGATTTCTCTTTTTCATTTCTCAGCTACCATGAAATAGCTCTGTTCCACTGAATCTCTTCACCTCAATGTTTTCCACAGCAATGGGTGAAGAGACTTTGAATTGAAATCTTCCAAACCAGGAGTACTTAAAAATATCATATTATAAACAAAGTAGAGGGCTCTGAATTCCTGTCCATAAATGCTCAGCTTTGTATTCCAAACTCTCTAGTGTGTTTATTCATTCAGAAATAAGACTCAATAAAGGGGAGAGTTTACCTCTGAAATAGAGATCCTGGAAGACATTCTATAAAGTGCTTCTTTCTGGATTAAAAGCTGGGCACGTTGATGAATGAACCAAAAGCAGTAAGAAAGTTCCTTGGATTTGGACTGTAGAGACTTGAGGATTGGTATATTATGAAAAAAAAACAATATCCAGAAGTTTGGACTACTTCTCAGCAAAGCAAACAATACATGATAGTAACAAATTTAATAAAAATTTATAATAAATCATGTATCTGAGGTAAGCCACTCAAATTGTATGCCAAAATTAAAGATCACTTACTTCTTGGAAAGGTGATACCTAGAGACAGAATTTACTTACCAGTATATTAATGATAAGTAATAATATTTTTTATAATGAAGTTGAATTGCAAACTTGGAAGAGTTTTGAAAATTTTGGGGAAGAAAAAAGCTCTGTATTTTAAGAGAGAAAGTATAAAGTATCACTCAAGGAAGTGATAAAAAGTCAACACAAACACTCCAGCCATTAAGAACTCAGCTTTATGTCTCTACTGTACTAGATGTTGGTGTGAGTTAGTCCTGCAGCATGCTTTACCTGCCCATCATGCTTCTCCTCCTGTGCCTGCATTTGTTCTAACACAGCACCCATAACTGAGCTGGAATCATCTTAGTAAAACCCATCTGATAGTGTCACTCCTACATAATGCCCTGTACCTACTCTCCTAGCCAGATCACAACACAGGTCTTCTGCAACTCAATTTGATCCCAATAAGTTCAACTCCATTTCTCAGTCCCCAGTGCCTCATATTTCTGCAGATCAAATGGCATGTCATTTCTTGAGGTGACCCTTCTTCTTTAAAGACTTGTCAGTTTTTCCTCATTGTCTCACTTCTCTCTATGAACTTGTTATATGTAGTATTAATTTTCAAAAGCCTTGCTAATCTCAGGGAAAAAAAGAGAATCATACAGCATCTTATATGCACAAGGTTGGTCCCACGGGATCAGCATAAGCACTGTAGGTATCTGTCTTAGTGCTTGGCATTGTCTGAGAGTAGGAACTTGTTTGTGGGGATTGGGGAGTGGCATGCACTTTCCCCTGAATTGCCTGGACAGCAATCCCCAAGGATCTTCCTTCTCCAATTCACCAGCCAGAATTATAGGCATGCATTGTTACTCCTGGCAGTTTTTTCTTCACAAAGTTACTGGGAATGGAACTCATGACCTACTTACTGTTTGCACAATGAACACTTCGTTGATGTAGGTATCTCTTCCTGGCTTATCACTTGATCCTTGATAGCTCCTTGACACCCAGAAGGCATTTGAGCAATGTTTTGGGAGATCAAAATGAATCCAAAAAATATTTGCTAAGTGCTACAACTAACCTTACATTTGGGCAAAATGAAAATAAGGCAGAAAAGTTCTGGGGGTGGGGACCTCAGGATAATCTTAGCTTATAAAAAAGCTTTTAAGATGTTGGGAAACTTAATCTTCAATATTCAGGTGCTTTCATTGTTAATGATTGTTAGAGTAAGAAATGAAGTAGTAACTGAGTAACCCATCTCAGTTTCTAAGTGTTTTTGGCAGCTATTTGAACCTTTGACCACTGAACTTTGCACTGCACTGTCCACTTGTCAGCAGATGAACTACATGTTTTCTGTTTTCTAACTGTAGAATTACTCATGACCAAAAAAATGGGGGGTTAAATGATATGCTTTATCTAGATAAGACTCATTTCCCCCCCTCCTCCCCAAGAACAGTCAATAAATTTGTTTGAAAGTTATTTAGTTTTCCAATCAGTTAGCTAGTTGTGTGTGTAAATGACTAAGGAGCATCAGAAATTTTCCTACGGGTACTGTATGTATGAGCAGGTTCTTCCTCATCCCTTTCTTCTTCAGAGATCCTTATTTTAAAACCTCAACAAACCATGGACCATGCACAATTCAAATCTTTCTCTCCTCCCTCTCTCTTTCCCTCCTTCCCCCTCTCAAAATCTGAGATATCCTAGGATAAGAACAGCCTGACATTCTCTGTGAAGTACATGACTGAAGCACCCAATAGAAAAGTCTAGAGAAGTAATTAAGAGATGGTATATGTTAGTTATGTTATTAAGACAATTTTATTATGATTGTTCAGGATGTTTATCATAGAAAATCCATTCATTGTTTGCTTAGCCATATCTCTAGTCAGCCTACACTACTAATTTACATAAAGTCACATAATCTACTCAAAAGATAGAAGGTAATTCCAGATAAGGAAATGTAGGTAACAGTTAGATTTGAAGTTACTTTGTTTGTGAGTCTGTACGTTTTTGCTCAAGAAGAGGAAGGAGGTAATTGGCATTTCGGGTGCTTTTGTCAACAAAAATATGTATAGAACCAAGGTTTAGATTTTGCTGTCTTTGTGGTTTGAATTATTAAACATGATTCATAACTTAATAAATATGAAAACATATCATGAGGGTTCCAAGGGGGCTTCCAAGTTTGGACTCTGAGGAAAAGAGGAGGGCTACTAACAGACAATCATTGACAACAAAGAGTGAGTAAGTCCTGGGCTAAACTGAGGACTAGGAGGAAGAGGAGAGAGAGGAGGGGGAAATAAAAGGAAAAAGAGGAGGGGGGAAGGAGAAGAAGAAGAAAGAGGAGCATAGTTGAAAAAAATAGAATTGATTGTCATGATGAGAGGTAAAACTTACCAGCTGTTTATTCTAATTGTTTCTCCTACAATGCTGATAAGCAGATAATGGAAATGTGTTATAAACAGAAACAATGCACAAGTATGGAGGTGCGCACATTTAATTTATTCAGTTCATTTCTTTGAGTAGAAATCTAAGATGTAGGTCTAGGCAGCTGGCAGGTATTACTGTATTCACAGTTCAGCTGATTAAGCTGGGATTAAGCAAGTCAACACAGATTTTTCCATGACGTTCCTGAACTTACTCATTTAGTCTGGTAACCAATCACAATGTGAGTTTTTTTTTTTTAAAAACAGGCTATTTAACTGGCCTATGGTTTTAATCCTTCACCATCATGCTTAGATCTGCTTCTTGTCCCAGAATCCCAAATTGAACTTTTTTGTCTGACCACTTTCTGTTGTTACATCATCTTACAAAGGGCACATTACTGTCCAAAGGGCAGCTAACATCATCATTACTCTCCGGAAAAAAATTAATGTGTAAAACTCCTGGCTAAAGCAAAAAAAAATCTTAGATAAATTGAGAGTGCTTATTTATTAACTGGGTTCCAACAAAAAGAGTAGAAATTACTGACCTCTTGATTATCACAGAATCAAAAAAGAGAAATTAAAAGTAAGCTCTCCCACTGTGGCTGGTTATTGGCAAGACTAAGACATATAGTAATTGATATTGGAGTGAATATTTTACTCTCAAGGTGTATCTATAATCTTTGAGCAACTGGTATGGGTTAGTTTTTTATAGATTTATTTCACAGATGAGATCATTTATCTGCGATAGGTCCCAGGATTTCTAAGTCCTGATGTAGAATTTAAACCCAGATCTGGTCCCTAAAAGCCTGTGTTCATTCCACTCCACCTCTAAATATTACATTATAGAACCTTTACTTTTACTATAACTCTTTAATACAAGGAACAGGCAAATTTTCACCAGTCAAAACTTAAATGTTAGTCTTCACACAGATAATAAAAATCCAGTTAAAATAGACTATTCCTTTGGATGAAAATTTTACATTGACTTATAAATACTAGTACAGTTAGCTTCTTCTCATTGCCACCAATTAAACTGAGAAATGACTTAACTAACATTTAAGCAAGAAGAAGGAGATAGCACATAATCAAAGCAGGGACCTCAGCTGGACAGGGTCACAGGACAAAGCACAGCCAAGATGAATTGGGTCCAAGGAAGGCTAATCAACTTCAGAGAGATTGTGAGTGGTTTTCAGGTGAAGAGCTGCAGTTTGGGAACAGGGAGACAGATGGGTTCTGTTGTATAACCCAGTGACCCCTGGCGTAAGGGCTGCACACACCAGCTGATGAACTCCAGACTTTAAATGTGAAATTTGAATTTTCTCACGCCTGAAACTTTCTTTTCATTCCAGCTTGACAAGGCCTCTTTTAAGACAAAAGAAGAGGACAACAAAATTGAAAGACTCAAACCACTGGGCCCTGTGGTCAAGGAATGTTGTTCTTCCTTTTTGAAGCTACAGGACAGGAGAACAGCTGAAGTAGACTTATGGAGATTGTTGAACTATTTCTACTGGCTATAGAATTAAATAAAGCAATACCCCTCCTTGGCAACTTTATAATAGGCACAAGAGTGGTTACCTTAGTTCACAGAGCTTTCTCGTTCTTTCTTTCTTTTTTTTGTATACCTGTGCCATTGCATCAGTCCTGAAATTGTGCTAAGCCCACAGCTGGCTCTTTTGAAAGGAATTGCACTAATGTACATGAAAAGGAAATCTCAAAATAGATGATAGGATTCTCACAAGTTACATAATTTTGGAAAAAGTTCAAAATTCTGAAATCCATCCACAAATTATTACTATACTGAACTTGACTTTTTCTGTGTATTTATTCACTGTCCTAATATTAGAATTCCTGTAGGAATGCACAGTAGTCGATCACTGTGATGGTAGCCCTTTTGATGAATGAAACAGTGGGCCCATTCATAGAAGAGCCATGGGATTGCAACTGGGATTTTTCAAAATTACTTTAAGAATGATCCATTTATATCTATATCTTTCCTTGACAGAAAACAGAATTATAATGCCTGTAAACACAAAAACTAAAACAGATTTCAGATAGCAGTCAGTACTAAAGTACCCATGTGGGTTGCAATGCTCACTTAGGATCTCTGCCTACAATTGTATACAGAGATAATAGGTTTATCTCTAAGTGTGACCATTCATCTCAGCTGAGTTTTGGTCTTATTTTTAAAGCTGAAATCATGAGGCAAAGGTCTATATTTATCTGTATGTAACCATTAGTCCTCTATCTCAAAATCTTGTGTAACTGTGTAAGCATTTTTGAAATATGGTCCTGAGCCTAGATGTAAACGTCAAAATACTTAAATACTAGAATTAGATTTTGTAATTTAGTACTGTAGAACTCTTAATATGAATTTGTTAATTTTTGGTTTTCTTATATTAAAAAAAGTATTAGGTAATAAAGTCTCTGAAAGTATCCAGTGTCTATTTTTCAGAGTGCAAAGCCTTTGAAGTTGTAATGCCTATTGACTTCATACAAAGCAAAATTTATCTTCATTAAAAGTTATACAAGATCAATGTCCTCCTGCCTATCTTTATTTTACTTTTACATATAGGAGTATCACATGCAATATAGTAAATACCTACTTACTTCTAATTTGTATGTTCTGGGACATATTTTAATTCCAGAATTTGAGAAGTCAAAATTTCTTCAGTGTTAGAACCTGCGAAATCAGTATTACCTGAACTTTTATCCTTGATTTGTTGGACTTAATGAATACTTATCTGGGTCCTAATTGCTGTGATTTCTACAACTGTTTTTTTCTTTAATAAGGCATTAGCATTTTGCAAGGAATCTTAATTGCAAAGACAACTTATTCCATAGCTATTAACAAAGTGGTAACTTTGGCATTCTTTTTCTTTAACTCTCTTGATTCATAGGGCAAATCTCACACATAACAAAGCCTCATGGTGGCAATGATTATTACTGAAACAGTGATTTAGGCATGACTCAGATATTGTTATGGCTTGAATATGAAATGTCCTCTATAAACTCCTGGGGTGGAGGTTTATCCCCTGTTAGAAGGTGCTGGAAGCTTTAAGGGGGTCCTAGCTGGAGGAAGTAGGTCACCAAGCGTGTGTCCTGAGTAGCTATGCTTTGCTTTGCTGTCCCCCCCTTCCCACCACTTCCCCTCTTCTGTCTCTGGGCTTGCAACTTACGGATCCAACATGAGCTCTCAGCTACTGCTCTAGCACTAGGCCTGCCTGCCTCTGTGCTCACTGCCATAAAGTTCATAAACTAATACTCTGAAACTGCAAACAAGCTTTAACTAAATGCTTTCTTCTCTAAGCTGACTTGATCGTGTTGTCTTTTTACAGAAAGAGAATAGTAACTAAGACAGAGTCCATTTGTGCACACATAGTGTATTGGGAAGAATGTGGGAAGTTCCTTTACATGGTTTCACATCCCACATTACTAATTTGTTCATAACTATATTAATTACTTTGTGCATTGCCGTGATAAAATATCTGACAATGGCAACTTCTAGAAGCAAGGGTCTATTCTGGCTCACAGTTCAAGTGCTTGTTTCATCATTTAAGAGACATCATGACAGTAGGAGCTTAAGATGGCTGGTTACATTGCATGTGTTCAGTCAAGAAATTGAAAGAGGTAAGTGTTCTGCTTATCTTGCTTTCTGTTTTTCAGTCATTATAAGAACCCAGCCTATAGAATAGTGCTATATTTAGGGTTGTACTTCCATCAATTAATCTAAGCTAAAAACTTCCTTCCAGACATGCCCAAAGGTTTGTTTCCATGGTGATTTGCAAGTCTGTTAGGCTGATAATCAATATTAAGCACCACAGTAACACATCTATATAGAGTAGCATTGAACAGTGTCTCAGTTAACTGCTTCTGGGTTCAATTCCTGGCCTTTTAAAATCAATTCATAACTATTTTTGTAGGGTTTTGGTGAGGACTAAAATAATAACAATTTTAGAAACATAATAGAACTTGGTATAGAGAATGAGAACAAATAGATATTCATCTTGTCACTCCCATAAGGACTTGGTGTTTGTTGCAATATTGATATGTGTGTAGAAATGTAATAAGATGGTTTTTGTTTTTCAATTGGTTTTTCAAGACAGGATTTCTCTGTGTAGCTTTGTACTGCAGGCTGGCCTCAAACTCACAGAGATCTGCCTGCCTCTGCCTCCCGAGTGCTGGGATTAAAGGCATGCACCACTACAGCCTGGGTGGTAATAGGGTTTTAAATGGGACCTGGGAAGAATAGAGGGGGTAAAGAGGAAGGGAGTTGGTCATGGGGGAACAGGAAGTTGAGGGGGTGGGGGTAGAATAGGGGGAAGAGGGAATCATAGGATCGAAGACAGATCAGGCACCAGAGTGACCTCGAGTGATCTAAAGGTATAACATCAATTGGCAAGCTAAGCAATAGTGGAGGGACCACCTCGAATGCCCATTCCTGATAATGAACTTGATGTCTATAACCATCCGGGAGCCTTCATCCTGTGACTGATGGAAGCAGAGGCCAACACACAACTAAGCACTGAACTGAACCCAAGGAACCCAGTGACAGAGAGAGAGGAGTGATGAGCAAATTGGCAAAGAATGGGCTGGCAAAACCAGCAGAGACAGCTGATCTGAACAGGGGAGAGCTCTTGGACCCCAGACTGACAGTGGGGAGGCCAGCATGGGACTGATCTGGACCCCCCAAATGTGAGTGTCAGTGAGAAGGCCTGGGCAACCTATGGGGCCCTGAGCTGTGGATCAGTGTCTATCCCTGGTATACAAACTGTCTTCATGTGCCTATAGCACAAAGAGAGATGCTCTCTCAGCCTGGACTCTTAGGGGAGTGCCTTGACCCTACCAAGAGTAAAATAACCGACTCTAGATATCCCCTATGTGGAAGGATTTGGCAATAGGGTGGGAGGGAGGGGGGAAGGGGAGTGTGGGAGGAGGGGAGGGAGAGGGAACTGGGATTGACATGTAAAACAAGCTATTTAAAATTAAAATAAAAAATGATAAAAAATTAAAAAAAATAAAAAAATAAAATAAAAAAAAATGGGAGTTTGTGAGAGGCACCTGGGAAGTCTGGCTCGAACCATCAGAGCACAGGCTTGCTATTCTGAGCATTACTCAAAGTTTGTTAAACCACAAAACTTACAGAGATTCTGTGGTTACCTCTGTATACAGAGACCCAGTGATTCTACAGGTACGGGACATGTTCTTAACACCTATAAAAATTATGTAGGAGTCTAATTCATCTATTTTTACTTAATGCTTAGCACAGTGCAAAGTACAATGAGTATATAATAACTTCTCAATAAATGTCTGTCACTTCAGTGTATGATCAAGAGTTCCAGTATGTATAAAATTAGTTATACTGCTCATGGGAATAGCTTGTTTTATCTTCAAAAGCTATTAACTAGCTTTTGAAATCTTTTAGATAGCACAGAAGACAGATCTCAGACCATGGCATACGGGGGGGAGAATCCCCAAAGGAACTGAATCTCACCAGTTCGATAGGGTGTGATGGGGCTGTGGTAGGTTAAATTCAGATATTAGATTCATAACTGCTAGATTCGGCAATTAAAAGAAGCAGAGCATTATCACTTAATATCTGCAGTTTGTGCTTTAAAATAGGTACATGTACTTACTAGAATAAACACAAATGCAGAGTTTAAATACATAAACATGTCACAAAGTATATACCTAAGTTTTGTTAAAGCTTACATAGCAATCCACCTGAAAACTCAACAGCTCAGAGCCACCATAACTATGCACCTATGTAGTATAAACACCTGTAATTTTGTTGGTGTACTCTGTAAAGTCTCATCTGTACTCCATGATTATCTGAAAGAGTGGCTCTATTTTTCACTAGAACTTACTTTTCAAGATGTCCACTCACAGAATTGGTACATCTGTGCCGGTTCTTAGCTTCAAGCTCAGTTTGTCTACGCATGGACTAGGGTCTCCAGTTTCTTTTTCTTTCTATAGATGAACCAGGGTCCTCAGTTTCTGTCCATAGGTTATGCTTTACAGACCAGGTGGGTTTCTTTGAGCACATAGTGGCTGTCTTCCAAGAGTGTGCTTATCAGAGACCCAAGTTGGAAGCAAGGTCTCATGATGAAGTCTGAGAAAGGACCAAGTTCCACAGTCAAAGTTCACCCAGGGTCATGGAAAGTCCCATTTACTGGTTTGCTTCCCAATGGGAATGCTTCCATGTTACATAAGATAGGTACATAATGGGATAGTGTGGAAAATTCAGGCTGCCAGGGCAAATTCTACATTTCCCAGTAGTGTTTAGAAGAACTTTTAATTCAGGTACCTCTGGAGTTCCCTACCAAGTCAAGGGCATTGTGAGATGTAGGAAATACTTTCTAAAAGTGATGTAGTCTAAGAATGAAATGCTTCAAGGGAGATTTGGGAAGAGATGAGTTCAATGAGATCTAAAAGCTGCCAAGAATAGAATGAACAGCTGGGTAGTTAGCTGAATGAACTCCTTTGGTAGGAAGAGCTAAGTGTTAACAATTTAAAGACTGGGTTTAGGGACCTTCCCCTTGCCTGTTGATGTCTAAGGATGAGAACAGTCTGAATAACCAAGGGCCTCAAGCCGTAGTTCCTTTTACATAGCATACAGTGTGTTCACAGCTAGGCTTATTTTTTCTTCTTCTGTGTCTGAACAGTTTTCTAGAATGACCAGAGGCTCAAAAAAAGAAAAAGAAAGAAAAACAAAGCAAAATATAAAAACCTTGGCCACATGAGCCTGACCCACCAAATTGAAAATCATAGGAAAATCTATATCTGACACATGTATCAACAGTTTGTCTGTGAGTATCTATTTACTCTCTCAAGTGAAATAGAAATACTGACTGTAGCTTGCTTTCAAGAGTGATGATAACTAGGCTGAGAAAAGCAGACAGCAAACCAAGTGCCAGAAGCTTCGGCCTATCTCAAAGGAGAGGCTTTCAAATGGTTTTGTAAAAGTTCTGTTTTAATACTTTGTGTGGACCTCTACTAAAACTGACCAGATGGCCTAGGATACTTTGTATCTTCTTTGGCTACATCTGTTTCATTCAAGACTAAACTGCTATTGCTATTGATTGTATAATGAGGCAAAAAAATTGATAGCATTCCCCAAAGCCATGTCCTTCCTTATTCTGTACTGGATTTGGAGCAGGAAAAAAGAATGTAAACAATGCATTTTCTTCCCCCAAATTTATTTATCAATTTCAGATGGTTTCCTTCTATGCATAGCATACTATCAAAGCCAAGCTGTGATTGAATGGGGCGATTCTTCTTTTTTCCTAGTGGAATGTTAATCTGGCAAGCAGACTGCCTTGGCAGGAGCAACTAACAACAAGACTAGTCCCTGACTTTACCACCCTCTGGGAAGTACTTTGATGCTGATTTTCCACAATCATACAATTTGAACTAACCTCACACAGGTCTGTCATACTCTTTGTTTAATAATTTAGTTTCCTGATGACAAACAAGAATAATTAAATGGTTATATACTTATG